CTAATAGAGCACAGAATTATGATTAAATATGAAGGCAAAAAATCTCTTGAAAATGACATAAGGGAAAATGTTACCTTCAATGTGTGCCATTTATTCCCTTTTTTTTTTTTTTTTTTTTTGTGAGGGGAAAATCATCAAATGACTTCTCCCGCCCAGGGCCGGGCAGGAGGGAGTGTCAGACTCTTACTGACTAAAAACCCCCCTGTTCCTTCTCCTGCTCTGTGCCGAGGTCGCGGTACCTTATTGCGCTTACCCCGCAACCCCGGCTGAACATCAGCCCCTTAGGGCCCCGTCTGTGGTGGTCTATTGGCTCTTTGAGGCGCGCGCGGAACGCTACGCGCCGTACGCTCGGGCCTGGTTCTGGTTGGGCGGCGAGCTGCCCTTACTCGCCGACCGCAGGCCCGTACTTACGGTGGCCGGAGATCGTCCCTCGATCCCCGACGCCCGTAGTGTCGCCAGTTGCGGCTGCTGGGGCGTGAGGAGGAGGATTGCTCCCTCACGCGGGCCGCCTCTCTCTTTGCGAGCATGACTGCTTCACAAAAGGAGGAGACGGCGTCCCAGTTCCTCTCACTCCGCACCATGGCCTCGACTAAGGCCGGGCGCGAGAGGTCGCCGCCGCCGATCACTTCCCTGAGGATACGGCGGTGCTCAGCCCAGGCAGGGCATACCGCTACCGTATGCTCCACCGTATCCTCTAGGTGGTCCTCACAATGACGACACTCGGGCGTTTCCTCCCGCTGAATCCGAAACAGGAACCTACCGAAGCTGCCGTGCCCGGTAAGCACCTGCGTCAGGCGGAAGGTGAGGACGCCGTGGCGTCTCTCAAGCCACTCCTCAAAGAGGGGTCTTACCGCTGCTATGGTAGCGTGCCCGGCCCTCGGTTGCGACAGTCGTTGTTTCCACTCTGCCATGAGATCTCGCCGGAGCTCATTCCGCCACGCACTAATTTGGCGCGGCAGAGGATCTTCGCCCCGGCGACGCGCGTCTGCGCGCAAACTGTAGACGCGCGCGAGCGCCTTCGCTTCTAGATCCCACGGCGGTGATCCGGCAAGGAGGTTCGCCGCCTCCCCGGAGATCGTGCGATACCCGCGGATTACTCGAATAGCCATGACCCTCTGGGACGCGACCAGCGTACGAGCCGGCCGCCGCTTCAAGGCCGGCGCCCACACAGGGGCACCGTAGAGGGCCATGGATCGCACAATCCCCATATACAACCTCCGGCAGGAGGCGTTTGGCCCCCCGAGGTTGGGAAGGAGCCGCTTGAGCGCGGCCCCAGACCGTTCTAGCTTAGGGGCCAAACGACGAAAATGCTCCGTGAAGTTCCATCGGCTGTCGAGGACGAGACCCAGGTACTTCATCGCCGACTCGACGCCGATGGTAACTCCTCCTGCCGTTACTTGGGACCCACCTGGAGGTGGCGCGCTCCGACGATCGGATCCGGGGCATCGCCACGTCGCACATCCTTGACATGGCGTCTTGGAGCCATCTCGCCTCCTCGTTAATGTCGGCTGGCCTGACCGGTGGTATCACCCAGGCCTGCACGACTGCGGCTTCCAGGAAAAGCTCCCGGTCCAGTTGCCTAAGCGCCCAACGCGGGCCACACGGGGCCTGTCTGACTGGCGGGTCTGCGGACTCGGCGGAGACGTCGAACCGTATATACCGGTGGTCCGAAAACGTCTCCACCTCCTCCATGACGCGCCAGTCAACAACGCGCGATGACAGAGCGGGGCTAGCAAACGAAATGTCCACCACTGACTCGCCCCGCATCCGTACGCACGTGGGGACAGAACCCCGGTTCAGCACGACTAGGCCTGTCTCCAGAGCCCAGTCTTCGACCATCCTTCCCCGGACATCAGTGAGCCGGGAACCCCAAGCCAAATTCTTGGCATTGAAGTCCCCGAGGACCAACACGGGGAGGGGACGGAACCCGACGACGACGGTGACTAACTCCCTGAGGGAGTTGTGGAACTCGACGAGAGTTCGGTTCGGAGAGAAGTACACGCCCACCACGGCGATCTCTCCGAACCGAGCCGCGACGCAACCCCTGCCTCGCTGAGGCCCTTCGGGGGTTGGGGTACCGGCGGCGGCCGACGAGATGATGGTCACCGAGCCGTCCAGGTCTGACACCCAGTGTTCCCTGGCTGGAACGAAGTACGGCTCGGAGACCACAGCAACATTGATCGACCACTGCGCCATGCTCTGGAGCAGGAGATCCTGAGCAGCGACGCAGTGGTTGATGTTCGCCTGGAGGAGGCGTAATGGAGCCATTATTGGGTATCCATCACGACCTCCTCTCTGACGGCAGCGGCGACAGCAGCAGTCGCAGGGGTGTTGGCGACTGCGGCGGCAGCGGGAGCGACGGTGGGAGCGGTGGAGGTGGCTAAGGGCCTACCTTTGCTCCTGGGCTTGGTGGGGGGGGAGCAGGTTTTGCCCCCAGCCCGGTGATCGGCCGGCTTGCCAGCCGCCGCACATACTACGCAGTGCGGTGAGGCGGTACAAGCGCCGGCCCTGTGACCGGGCTGACCGTAGCGGAAGCAGCGGTCGCTGCGGTCCACCTCTGAGGTGCATTTGGCACCCACATGGTGACCAATGAGGCAGCGGAAGCACCTCAAAGGTCGGGGTTCCAGCAGCTTCACCTGCGCCGAAACCCAGCCCACCAGGAGCCTTTTGCCCTCCGACAGTTTTTTGGCCGCTGTGACGGGGCAGCTCACTACCACGGTCCGCAGCCCCGTATTGTCCGGGCGGATGGTGCCTGCCTTCACCTGATCAGCAGGGCACCCCCCCGTCCTTGCGACAGCGGCCGCCACCTCGTTCTCCGTCACGGAGTCATCCAGGCCCATGATGCGTAGCTCCAAGCATTTGGTGGGCCTGGACACGCGAGCTTCGTCCGCCGCAATGCACGCCCTGAGCCTCTCGGCAAGGGCGTCAGCGGACGGGCCGCTGGCCGCGCCGGGGACCTCCAAGAGACGGGCTCCAGTGGCAGTGACCCTCACTGCGAACCCGTCGGGTGCCCCAAACTCCGCGGGAGTTACCGCCCCCTTCAGTTTGGCGAGGACCTCGCCATATGTCACCCCCTTTTTCGCCGCGTCCGGCTGTAGTGTGATAACTACAGCCGAAGATTTTGGGGCGAGGAGCATTGCCGCAGCGCGCTTCTCCTTGCGCCGCTGCTGTCGCCGCTGCCGCTGCTCCTTCTTCCGGAGCTTCCTCCTCTCCTTGGCGACCTTCCTCACCTCTCCCGCCACTTGCCACTCACTACCAGCACGCGACTCAGACGGCGGAGTAGGTGCCGATGCGGCTGGGGCTCCAGCCGCTGCTCCTCTTCGTCTGCGGCTCATCGGCGCAGGAGCCAGCGCCGAGGGAGACACGGGCGCCCTCGTCGGTGACAAGGCTGGCGGCGCTTTCGCCCCCTTCTTCACCGGTGCGCTGGCTTGTGCCCCACGGCTGGTTGGCGGCTTGGGCTTAGCCGCTGCGGCAGCATACGACCCGGCTGCGAGTGGAGGTCGCAGGAGCCTACCCTCCAGCACGTCGAAACGCTGCTGGAAGGCGGCCATCTCTCGCCGCATAAGGCCAAGAAGGTCGGCCTCCGCTGGCTGCGCAGGCTGGGATCGGGCTCCTCGAGCAGCTGCGAGCTCTGCTTTTGCTGCCCGAAGCTCAGCCTCCAGGGCAGAATTGGCAGCCGCCAAGCGTGACAGCTCCCGCCGCATTCCGGCCAGCTCTTTATACATAGCGGCCATCTGCCGGCCTGCTGAGCCCTGCTGGGATACCGCCGACATAATTGCGGCTTCCGCGTGTTTGAGCACTCCATTTCTGCCGGCCTGGGTTTTTTGCCCAGCCAGCATGCGGAGTGCTTCCTTGACTTCTTGGCGAAGGCTATCAGCGCCGCCTTCGCTTGCGGAGCCCTCACCAGCAGACAACTCCATCTCAGAGGAGTCCAAGGGGGCGACCTTGCCTAGGGCACTCCCTTCCGCCACTAGCCGCTCAGTCGGCTCGCCTCGGCTGCCTGCCGCCCTCGGGAGGCCTTTCCCTTTGCCCCTACCGCGCGCAGCCGTGGGGATCCTGCTCGTTAGAGGAGGGCTCTCGCCCATCCGCCAACCTGGGACGCTTGAACGTCCCCCGCGTTTTCTTCTGGCGCAGCGCTATGCTTACGCCAGACTGCGATGTTGAGTCAGACTCAGAGTCCGACTCCTTCCTGCCTGAGGCACGTGCACAGGATGCATCTAGCGCCTCATTTACGCTTGCAGGCGAGCTGACCACGCTTGCGTTCTCCTCTCCATTGAGTGGTTTTTTATTTTTTAAATTTTTTGACATCTCCATAGAAGTCCCACGAGTATGGGGGAAATAAGCGGTCCACCCAGGGAGAGCCCCCTGTCCCTGGGTAAGTGTGCATTTGTCTCCCAACTAGGGGGTCCACCGGTCCCCTAGCTGGGGGTGCGCTCACGACTGATCACACTCCTCAGCCATACATACCCTCGCCGCGCACCAGAACTTAGTATTGGAGGAATTTTTTATAGAGGTTATCTTCCTCGCGGTCCGGGCGGTTAAGCCAAGACCCTCGTCCCGGTCCGAGTCATAAAACATGACCATGATCTCTTCCCGGATTACGATATCGACGGGTGCAGTCGGGCGCAGCTAGTGCCCCGATGCTACTCATTGGCAGGGTGAGTGCACAACGAGCGCCGCCCTTGTTTCTCCGCCCCGCTCTCTGCTAGGTCCAGAGAGTCGTGCGGAGGAACGCCCCCACGGAGGCGTAGACTCTATGCCAGCATAGAGCCGGTCGCCTCTAGAACCCGACCGGGTTCTCCGCCCGGCCAGAAGTTCGCTGCGGGCGACAGTCAAACCAACCCTGTCACCATCCCGTTAGGGAGACTGTCGCCCGCACCCAGGGTGCACCACGGGGAGGTCTTCTGGCACGCACCCCGCCATTTATTCCCTTGGACTTAATTTTTCTACCGTGTACAAACTTGTTATTTTATCATTATAATGATTTGTTGATTTTATAGCCAAGCTGAACTGCGGGTATAATGAAGTTGAAGTTCCCTGCAGACAGATATGTCCTCCACAAAACTGTGAGATTGCGTACACTGACTATGCTTGTACTGAAGAAACGGAGATTTGCGAACGGGGTTGTGACTGTCTTCCCGATCACCTTAGAAATGGCAGCGGAATTTGCATACCGAATAATGAATGTCCTTGTAAGATGTTTTTTTAATAAGCGCTTAGTTCTTTGCATACCCATTTTGTTTGATTTTTCAAAATTAACTGTATATATAGACTTATTGTGACCGTATTTAATATTATTTCAAGTAATTTTGATTATCAATAGAATTTGTTCAGTTGGATTAAGCTTAATAGCTTTTACCAGACATTGTTAAAAATAAATGGTGTGGTGATACCCGCGTTTCATGCATGGTGGCAAAACCTGGCATATGTAAGAATGTGACTTTTTCCAAGGTATAAAATAATGTACTTTTACTTCTATTTAGAAACCCCTTACAAAAATGGAAGAAAACATCGTGAAAAACTTGACGTGACTTATAATTTTATTATACGTTTGAAATCACTAATATGCCTTGAGCAAGTTGATAATCAATGCTAAAATCGTCTTCATGTTAGAAGAGGCCTTCCATTAGCAGTGGTTACTTATCTGAGACCACTAGGGTGACGATGTGTGATGTGAATAAAATAATAAAATGACCAGTGATGATACCAAAAAGTCTTGAAGTACTCATAAGACCATTTTAATCACCATGCTATTCACACGACAAGACACAATCTTGGAAGTTTATGCAATTTTTTTTCATTCAATTCAATTTGTATTTTTAGATCCTTCAACGCCCGTCTGTGGGATAAATGAAATTGCCAGAGACTGCAGGCGTATTTGCCCGCCACAGACTTGTTTGAGCAAGTATGCTTTTTACCGTTGTGCAGAAAATATACCTTGTGAACCTGGGTGCGATTGTGTTCCTAATTACTTGAGGGATGATAGTGGAAAATGTATACCCAGCGAAAAATGTCCAGCCCGTAAGTTTTTTGTGTGAACGCTTTTTATTGTTTTCTTCTTCTTAATTCTAACGTGAGCTACAATATTGGTGTTTTGAACATAATATTTTCTCTTTGTATATCGTAGATTTTAGGTCGATCGTAGAGACGGACCTCTGAGTTTGTTTTGACATTTCTTCTCAGAGTAGTCAGTAGTAGTATTTCCTCTCTAGTAGAATCTGCTGTAGGTCGAGTTATCTCTTTTATTAAAATTTTTATATTCAAAACTTTCTTCATTTGGTATTTCAATAACCTTGTGACTCCTAGTCTCAGCCATTGTAAAGCATTTCTGCATTTATCTTTTCTCAGCATGCGATGTTCCTGATCAGTGTAAGCGGACTTGTGCAGTACCAAACCCCGAGAATTGTGACTACCCACGTCCAGAAGAAAATATAGATGGTTGCAGTTGTAAAAGTGGTTATATTCTCACAGAAATAGGAGGTCAATGTATACCAATTGAGGATTGCCCAAGTAAGTATTGTGGTGAAACTTTTAATTTTTCTATGAAAAAGGATATACTGGTATGATTGACGATGATACATATCTACTGACCCTACTTTATTTCTATTGCTGAGTTAGTAGGTATCGAAAATTTAAAATGGGAAAAAATAGGAGATCTGTTATACTTACTACCAGTAGAAGAGTTCAGTTTAGAAAGTGTTAAAATTACAACTGCTAACGACACTGAAATTGAATCGCTAATCACAAATAAACAGCTACCAAAATTGAAAGACTTACTAGTCTGAATAGCTGCGGTATATGTAGTACGGGACCTATACGTTTAAGCTTACGTCCCTTCAGAAGGATCACATATAGGATAGTAGCAATGTTAGTACCTGTTTGTTTGTAATTACCGATTCAATTTCTGTGCGAGTATTCATCGCCTATTCTAATATTCTGGTAGCAACCCGGTTTTCTCAACACTCCTTTTTTGTCGGGAGAAAATCATTAAATGACTTCTTCCGCCCAGGGTTAAGCGAGAGTTGAGAGAGATTGTCAGACTCTTACTGACTAAAACCCTCCCGTTCCTTCTCTGCTCTGGGCCGAGGCCGCGGTGACTCATTGCGCTTAACCCGCAACCCCGTTCTCAACACTCCCTGCACCTACCAACAAACAGCTTGAATGAAATTAAAATTAGGCCTTTCAACGAAACGGTTAATCACCAGGCCTGTGATCGAATGGCTGATTAAGCTAATTAGCTGACGCAGATACATTTTTTCTTATTCTAGCTGATCAAAGCTGCAACGGTGATCCAAATGCAGTAATCAAACAATGTCCACAACCTTGCCCGGCTACTTGCAGCTCACCTAATGCGTTTCCCTGTAAGAGAATGTGTTTAGAGGTCGGTTGTGAATGCAAGCCTGGATATCTGAAGTTAAATGAAACAGGACCATGCGTTTTACCGGATGAATGCCCTGGTAAGTAAAAAAGATTAAAACAAACAACAGAAACAAAGTATAATTATGTCCTTTAAATTAAATGGAAAGTAAGGATCCGAATCATAAAATTAAATTGACTGCAATATTTTGAAGCATGAACCTTTTTTTGAAATAAATTATTACATCACCCTAAACCTTGTATAAAAGTTGTATCTCCTTTGAACAATGATTATAAATATTTCGTTTATTCTTTACATCTCTGTACGTTTGTTTTGAAAGTATAGTGTTGATCTACATAGACGTTATTCTATTTATTTTCAGGTGGAAACCCATGCGGTGAGAGTGGTCGTTTCGTTGACTGTAAAGTGGACTGTCCAAATAGCTACTGCCCAATAGATGACAGCAGGGATACAACCTTCTGTGACCCATCTGCAGACTCCTGCTTGCCTGGTTGCATTTGTAACTTAAATCACAAAAAGAGAAGCTATGAAGATCCAACGTGCATCGTATCGTCTGATTGCCGTAAGTGATTTTTAATATTAATTTCGTTTTCCATTTGCGAAAGTTAAAAAAGAAAGTTTGAACATTAATTGATCGATTGTATTCTAACTTCGTAGAAGCAATTTGTGATGTTTGTTATTTCTTTTTCTTTTGAAGCTGTTACCAGAATTCTTCTTCGAGAGTTGACATTGTTTATTTTATCACTCGTTTAGTTATTAATGTTGTATAAAATGAGACATCTTTACGTGCAAATGCTCTCTCTTGAGATTTCTGACCCTGTCATTAAAATGCTGACAGTTAAATACGTAGGTACCTGTTCTGTGTAAGATTTACATCTATATAGTAAGAGTGTAACGAAGCACTTGATTGGGACCCCTAGGGAGTCGGATAGGATGAAATTGTTGCTGAGTTTGTCGGTAAGCTGCGGGCTCGATATTTATCCCGAATTCCAGAATCTTACACGATAATGATACTGATATCTGTTTCCATGCCTGATCGGGAGGTATATGTGTTCTTACCTACATTTTTCAAATACGTCACGTGGAGGAGACAAGAATGAACTACAGTCTGTCGTGCAAAGTTTTTTAACTGATTTCCTTACGGGTTGGATAAAAATATAATTCATATTTTATGGGCTAATTAACTAAATAAAGTTTTGGTGATTTGAGGCCAGTACTGCTCTTTTTCCTTAGAAGATGTTTGGCTGTTCATATAATAGATGTTTTCATTGTACTTGACAGCTCCAGTAAACTGCACAAGGCCTAACGAAGTATGGGATCCCTGTCCATCAGCGTGTCTTGCAGAAAATTGCGAGGATGCTGACAAGCAACCGACTGTGTGCAATACTTTGGTCCTAAACTGTGAACCACGTTGTGTATGTAAGAAGAAACACTTCAGGAATTCATCAGGAATATGTGTTCCAGTTCATAAATGCGATGAACGTAAGTAGACTAGCGGTGTTTATTAAATTTGTATTTAATATACAATGTAATTCTATTTTCGCTGTCTAGTCTAATTATGATGATAATAGATGCCATAATCTTTCTGTAGTTCCCATTATGGTAGTCCATAGTTATCCACACCCATAGCCTTATCTTTTTGATATCCGCAACTGTTTTACAGTAACTGGGGACTGTCCTTGAGTTAATTTCCATAGTCCCTACAGGGGTGTTCGCTAGTTTGTTTCCCATTTCATTTATATTAAAGTTGTCTAAGAGGTCTCTGTGCAGTTGGTTTCGGCCTCTGGTATTCCTCTCAAATACCCTTCTCGTCCTGTTATTAAAGTTATGTAAAGACATCATAATAGACAGTACTATAAAAAAATTAAAGACTATAAATAAAAAAACCTTTATATTACACAATCAAATTCTAATTCTTTACTTTAATAAGAATCGAAATACTGTTAAGATTTATTTAAATCCTAATTTATTTATTCGATTTTAATTGGTGTATTCGTTTTGATTTTCCAGCCTGCAGCTGAGGTTCTCACAACTCTTCAAGACTGGTTTTCTTATAAATAAACGATAACAATCAGTCAAGATCCTGTTGTTTTATTTTCTATTTAATTCATAAAACCCTGAGCGAACGCCCGTTCACGCACCTATTGTTTTTCTGTTGTGTCTGGAATAACCACGATTGAAAGATTAAGACACTTTCCTGTGATAGAAATGATTTCAATCATAATGAGAATATAATTAAGGTTGACTAGATTATCATAAAACAATGCCTAGATGATGTATTGCTTGCAAATTCTACAGCTATGAAGAGACCTTGGTTTTGATTCTGAGGCCAGCGAAGATATTATTCTGATTTTTGAAACTCGGTGTTTGCACGAAGTTGATCATTATGCAAGGAGTATGGGAAAAGGTCAAATTGGGGAGGTATTTTAGGGAAGGACACATTTTTTTTTTCATAATTGTAAATAGTTATGTGGCTATGTTCTCTATTTTATTGATTGTTCAATTGTTTCAAAAGTTACTAGTCATACAGAATTAACAATGATTGCACTAGCCTTCTCCATTGGAAAATACCGGCACGGTGTTTATAATATTATATTTCAAAACTAAGGATTTTTTTTAAATGCAGAAAAACTTCCCACAATCTACATATTATTATTATATTATTTGTAACTCGGGGGAAGGATGTATCTCAGTAAGGTGCTGGTAGGGGTCTTGACCGTACTTCCGGGATTGCTCTGATAGCCGTGGGATGCCTCTCCTTCCCCAAGCAGCTCAACGTATGTTGCCTCCGTGTCGCTACATGCTAGCGGCCGTTTCCGGGGGCCCATTAATTGAGTTTGCCAGTCACCCCCTGCCTGTTTATCCGTATGTATCAATATTGGTCAGGGGCAGGGGCCATAGTATTTCCATAGTTATCATATCCACCAGTCCATAGCAACCCATATTCATAACCCTATCAATTTTTACCACATTTCACAATAGTCTTGCATCAACCGGGGATTGTCCTTGGGTGCACTTATATAGTGCATACAGGGATAATTGCCGGCTGATGTCCCATCACATTTAGATTAAAATTGTTCAACGGGCCTCTGCAAGTTGGCTTCGGCTCCTCGTATGCCTTCCAAAGGTCCGGGACCCTGTGGTCCCGTGAAAGCAAAGAATAAACAGTATAGCTGAATATGAGAGGTAAACATTTTCTAATAGTTTGTTCACCGAGAAACTTTGTGCGTAGGTCGAATTGGGAAGACAAATCGTCTCATCAATCTTAAGAAGGTATTTTTTAATTTTTGTTTGTTCACTAGCGAAAACATTTCCTACTAAAATTAACTCTATGTGATAAAACCGCCCATTGTAGACTATAGCTACAACCCTATCTTTTCATTTTTGTAGTTTTCTGACATAGTGTGCAATGAAGTAAATAAAAATAAATATATCATTAACCTTAGAACTAAATTGTCGAAATGTTAAGAACTGTTGTAGAAGTTGTTATGACTTATCTTTTAATACAAAATAAATTAAAGCCATGAAATGTTATCTCTAATGCATCTGCATTAAAATTAGCACTAACTTAGTAGATATCTTTCATCTGAAGTCCAATGACAACAGAAACAATGGACATTTACAATAACAAAGACAAAAGACAAACTCAGAATTTAATATCGCAATTGTTTTAAAAAATGTAACGGAAGCTGCACTTATTCAATGCCGAAAGAATCTTCTCATTCCGACTATAAAGTGCAAAGTTATTGCCTTACTGGCTGATTCTTTGAAAAGTTAAAATCTTTGTGTTCTTTGTTATACTTATGAATATTTTTGTTGCCTGACTGATGTGATTTTGTGATTAAATTGGAAAAGTTCATTTTTACAATGCCTGTTTTTATAACGAACACATGTGTTTCCAAAGTATTTTAAAGTCAATTAATCTACCGATTTATTTATTTATTTCAGGCACAAAACACATTACAATCAAATATTATTAGCTTAAAAACGGTTTTGATGAGGTTTTGATCTAGATAGTAACGTAACAATATGTTCTTTCTATTTTGTACAAAGCTATCAATCAATTTTATTTTATTATAAATTATTTTATTTTTATGTGCATACTGCAAAATCAAAAGTTTTAAATATTAAAAAAGCTCAAAAAGGGACACACACACAAGGACACGATTACACTACTTACAATACAGAAATGTATAAACGTGTTTGTCAGCGATTATCTCAACAACACCTGGACTAATTTTGACAAATCTTTATCTTTGTTGTGATTGCTACGTGTCTCCTGGCAATCAGTCCATATGAAAGAAAATTTTCGAGAAGTGAGAATCGGTTGTTGGACACCCATGCAAAGCAGGGGCGGACCGCTATTGAATTCATAAATAAATAATTATAAAAACAGATGAAACGGGCAAAGCCATCAACGATGCGCTTGTAGCGTACAATTTAATGAATAAACACAAATAACGTCTATATGAAAATAATCTCGACCCAATCTTGCACAATGAACCCAAAATATCCCTAAAACCTTATCCCTCTTTTACCTAACGTAGTTTACTCCAAAATTGAAACCCAAGCAGCTTGACATTAAGTTTGGGAATTCTTCAATGTCACCTCTATTTTTGAAGAAAATACTTCTTGAATATCTTCGTGTTATAAAAGTTTTAGTACCTACGAAGTGAATAAACTCCATCGTCGCGCGTCGGGGACGTTAGGGCGTCAAATTGATATTTTAATATTCCCTCATTGTCTTTTTCAATCAAATTTTAAAGTAATCTTCGGATTATTTAAGTTTTACTCGAGTGTCTAATAATAAAAGTGTCTTTTGTTTTGTTTGTAAAATGAGATGGAAAATATTGGTCGCATAATGTAAATGCAAAAGAAGTTTCTTTAAAAATATTTCAGTAACTACGGGTTAATTTAGTCTGACGCTTGTAATATGGCTAGTGAGTATGCTTCGCAGCAATTAACTTGAATGCCTTAAGTAATTTTGATCATTAGGCACTTTATTCTTGCAAACAGAAAAATCAAATAAAGACGAAAAAGTATAGAGATTCCCATCAGAAATATTGATACCTCCGATCTTTTAAGAAGTAGCTAGAGATGATTTCTGATCCGGTTGCAATCAACCGTTTTTCCTATTATTGGATTCCACAATCCACAATATACGTAACTTTGTGGAATCTTTAATGCTTATATCGTATTTTACGCTCAATAAAACTCTTCATCCATCAACCGTTTGTCTCTCAAGAGTAATATGATTTTGGATTTGAGGGTCTTTTTTGGAGGTTAGAGAAGTTCATCAATTCGGCTACTGATTATAATGCCTCATGTTTTAACTGTGTATTGGTAAAAGTATTGAATTACTTATTTAAGGTTTTAACTTAAAGAAACCTCTTTTTTTTAAATCTGGAATTCTTTTAGTTTTAAATTACACAGAAGAACATATAATTATGTTCGTCTTCGTGTAAGTATTATATTAAGGAATGACAAACGCACTGAAGTTACGACGATGTTTAATAAATAAAATTCAACTAGTTCTAAATAACAACCTTGAACCTAAAGGGTCACAATTATGACCCCTGTTCCAGACATAAATCCATATAAGTACTATCAGAAAATAGTCCTCTGATGTTCGAATATTCTAACATATTACAGAAAAGTGTTACTCGACGTGGCGGCAGCCATTAAATATTTTATAGCCGTTAATGGATTTTCGTCGATTTATAGATACGCAATGCACCATTAATAAAAACTGACAAATAACGTTATATAAAATTGCTATGATTTATTATTTTTGGATGAAAATAATATTTTATTGTGGGGACTGAATGACCAGTAAATTCTAAACCATTTCGTTTTTTTCAATTGATTTTTAATGTTATTAGCAAAATATCATAAGTGTCTTTTCGAGTTCAATGGAACGTTTTTACCTAACTTTAAAACCAAATTCGATTGAGTACCTACAATAATGGTTCTGCATAATTGCTGACCAAGCCTTTTAAAAAATTACGTATATAACGAACAAATATTATTCAAAATAACATAGACCCTTTTTTGACTTGATACTTACATTGCGTCCGCAATTTAAAAAAGTGATTCGCTTAGATGATCCAGAGCATATTTAGTTACTTACAAAGTAGTGTTTACCCTTGACATTATTCCCTAAGCCCCTAGACGTAGTCTTGTCTTCTTCTGCCGATAGTAGCGGTTTTAAACCTAACCAGTTTGGGTTGAATATTTTAGAAGTAACGACTGCCAAGCGACCTCGGTATTGCAATAAAAACCAAAATGGAGGTCTTGTAGATTTGTTTTGGTTGTTTTTGTCAAGATTTTAGTATTGTTTTATCTACTACTGCATCATGTTGAAAGAGTTATTTTTATTGACTAGCAAAGCATACTTATATCCTCTATATGAGTCCTTTATTTTTTCCTTTTTTCCTCTTTTCACCTCTCCAATACCACGCTATGGGGCGCGAACGTCAGTTACTTAGGTAAAGTATCTTGGTTTATTTCATTGTCTGCTCCTGTTTTTACTTCTGTACCGAGCCAGGCCGCCATACAGTATCACTGCGCTTGCAAATCTGATCGATCATCAGCCCTGCTATAGACCCCATTTGTGGTGGTCTGATGGTCTCTGTCTGATTTGCTAGCTAGCATAGTTTTGTTTCAAAGATGGGTCTCAATCGTCACAGTTTGGTTCGTACCGCTTTAAGAACTCCTAAAATATGACTCAACTCTCTACACAACATCTTTTTTCTAAAGAACGTAAGAAAAAATATCAGCAATGTAAATGACCGAAAATCTTCGCTTGTTTTCTCATAGGAATCAACTTTCTGAGTATCAGTATAAGAATTCTTAATTACTAGGTAAGAACAACACCCACACAGTCCCGTGGTTGCGTTGTAGGCATAGAATCGCGTAGTTACTAAGTCATAAATCCCTCAGGAGTAATTACTGCGACAGAACTTCGTAATAAAGTTACACAATTTTTTCCTAGACCCGTCTCAAGAGAACTTTAGTCTGAAAAATATAAGAGAAGAAAACTTGACAACATTTATTGGTACCTACAACACAATATTAGTTGCTTGTTTATCATAAATCAGAAAAGAGGTCGTTGTACTCATTATTGTAGTAGTTTTAGTCAAAAGAAATCTATAGTTATGAATTATGTAAAGTTATTGTATTAGAAATGAAGTGAAAGATGACTCAAATAAATTATTCTTTTTGGCCTTAGCTTGAGTATTATTGGTTTTTCGTGTTTGTTCACAAATACTTTCAACAACTAACAAAAACTTTCGATAAAGTACCTAGTATAGGCAAGCATAGGGCAAGCATTGTTAAGTGTTAAGAATACTTTAATTTTTCATCTCGTCTTTCTATTACTGTATGATTAGGAACAAATATGCTATGCTGGACACCTATCACGTGGAACATAAGAAATTCAAAACACGGTAAATACTATCTATATCTGAATCTTACTCTCTATAGATAAGATTACTGTGATTAACATTTTAGAAACCTGAAAACAGTGAGAAGGGAGCTATTAAATGTAAGTCAATACAAACGGACAGATCTGGAAATCATTGAGAGAAATAAGCCTTCATTCTTTAGCAATCGAAATTTTGTAGCTGAAATGATGATATTAATACTATCATTATTACTTTAAATAAAAGTACATTTACGTACGTCACCAGGTTTCAATATGGACGAAGAAAAATTGCACACTACCTTCGCCTCGTTTATAACCGAACAATCTCTGCATTGTGGAGGCAAGTTTTTGTTGGAGCCATAAATCAATCCGCAGCGAAAAGATTCTCCTAAACTTTTTGCTTACCATCTATGTACAGATATGAATAACAGCACATTTGAAATTGGAATTTTCTAGAATTTGTGATGGACAATGGTTAAAAACCATTTTACCAGTCCAGGATCCAAAAGTATTTTTTGGATATTATCGTCAATGGCCTTTAAAATTCTTTGTTTTTTTTAAGCAGTGTATAGACAGAACCATGAGTATCCTACAATATTATTCGATTTTGTAGATATTTTTTAGAAGTATAAACATATAATAAACTTTACTATAACTTGAAAAGAAAATAATGATACTTACAGGATAGTTTTTTTATTGAAATATACACAGAACTCTTTATAAAACTACTTACTAGGTATATCGGACGGGTGACATTGTGAACGTATTCCATTTTTTTTCCAAAATTTGAACAGGTTAAGCCCCGAGGCGGGCATGATATTGAATAAAGCGACGAAAAAAACGTTTTTATGTAGCGCAATTTAACGTACGCCAGTTTAAAATTGTTTGCACTAGATATATATATATATATTCATTTTATTGTAATATTGTTTATAAATAACTGCTTTTGCCCACGACTCCGTTCGCGTGGAATAGTGACTTCCTGCAGATTTTTGGTATCAAAACTATCCTATGTCCTTTCTCAAGTTCCAAACTATGTCTGTACCAAATTTCACAGAAATCGGTTCAGTAGTTTAGGCGTGTTGAAAAGACAGACAGACAGGGTTATTTTCGCATTTATAATATTAGATTAAATTGCAATTTTCTTATTTTCCTATCAGAGTATCCAATCCTTAGTTGTTATCCTTGGAGGAAGTTGAAAAGAAAAATACTACTATTGTGTTTACCTATAAAATCTAGACCCAACCCCTTCAAGTAAAGAAAACTCGTAAAAGAGCTGAACGAATCCACTTTATCTGTACTCGAACCGCCGTCAACCAAGTAACCGACGATTAATCAGCCTTATTAGTTCCTTCTCAAACTCTAACTAAATAATTGGTTACGATAAATGTTATTCCGGGAACTGTAATTGGTTTTCGTCTTATTTGTTTGTCGGTTGATTTTTCCTTTATATCTTTGTGTACGTGTAAAAGTTTTGTTTGTGTGCGTTCCCTTTCTGATTTATAGACTGAAGACTCGACCGTTGGAATTGTTCGATGTCTTAATTCGATTTTCTCAAGTCTTTCTGTTGATGAAGTTACTTTTTTCTTGAATTGTAATAATAATTGATATTAGATTTTTGGTTTTTATTCAATATACGTCTATTGTATTATGTTTTGGTTCAAGGGGCACTGAAATAGAAGGTACTTACGTTTCTTTGATCTTTGTTATTCTATACCTATTTTATTTTTAGGAATTCAATTCATTATACTATCTATTTGTTATTTGTATGACTGATATTACTCGTTATTTCAAAGATTTTGGTTAAAATAGTGACCCCAGTACTTATATCGTTTTTTGATTATATTCCCATTGCAGCTGCATGCACGATTGTCGCGAAATACCAGTAGGCTTAGGTTTTTTATAACAATTGTTAAACCTCCACGGACCCTAATGCATGTTCTTGTCAAACAATTGTGATTTCTTTAATAGTCAATATCATAACGATTTTATATATAGTCGTGGACCATTACCCAGTATTTCGAAAATCACTCAATTTGGTTTTATATTTTCACCTGTTGGAAAATATAGATTTGGCTTTTTTATTTGCCATAGACCAGTTAAATAGAAAACAAAAACATCTGTTTTAAAATAATCAACAATACGACACACCAACAATGTTTTATTAATCTTCAAAATTATGTTTACTTTGTTGTTATTGACATACTTGAACCAACATTTCTTACTTCCGTAATCAAATTTAAATTAAATATTGTTAGGTACCTAATTAAGTTTATTGAAATATTTTATTTTATTATTTTGTGCCAAAATTAAATTTATTATTGATAGATATTTTGAATGACACCATGTAACTAGATATCTAATTATACGTAATTATTATTGTACAGAGAAATTACATTGTAAATAATCCTTCAATTTTTGTTTTGTAGATGTATTATATGTCAGTATGAGTCTACTCGACCAGTATGATAACATATTTTGTTTTTGAAAGGGAAAATATATATTTCTTTTTTTTTAGGGATGCCAGATTCTTACTGACTATGAATATAACTCCGTTCCATCTCCATCTTCAGGCCGGAGCCGCTGTACATTGTCCGCTTGCACCTGCTTGCCCCGCAACCCCGGCTGAACATCAGCCTGGTTGTGCCCCGTCTGTAGTGGTCTGTTGGTGGATTCGAAAACCTCGCCTGATCATCATTCAATTCTGCCCTAACACCACAATCCATCAACCCTCAAATCTTTGCTGCGTTATGCCATGAAGAACACAATCATCATCAGCCTATAAGTGCCAACTGCTGAGCAAAGGCCTCTTCTTATACGGAGAAGATTTGTATAGTCACGGTGGCCCTTCTCATGCATGAAGGTTCGGCTTCGAAACCTGCAAAGTACCAATGTGACTTTTTCCGAGTTACATTTACTTTCTACGATTTTTTAGCCACCACTGACAAACGGTGAACGAATCGTGAGAACACCTGGACTTATAATTTCTAATTACAAGTTTGATATCGCCAATCCGCCTTAAGCAAGCGTGGTGATTAATGCTCAAATAAAAGAACGGTACGTTTAAAGAAAAAACAAAGAAATCTATTATTTTTGCGTTTATTTTTCTTAGCTTAAGATTTATTTTATACAATTCTTACTTAGCTGGTCAGTCTTCATTACAATATCCCTTAATTACATCCGAGGGTAGAACTTCATTCTTCAATATTTTCCACTCCAAATTCCCAAGTTCCCGGAATTCTTCATTCGGAGTTTGTGGAAGAAAAATTTTTCCTGTAAATTAAATAAAAGGTTCTGTTATGAGAAAAAATCTTCGTTTAAGTTTTAAAGTTTTTTTTTTTACTTTTCGGTACCTTGTACCTACGTGAAAGGTTCGTCAAGGATTAGAATTTTATCGAAAATAATTTATTTAACGCCCGCCGCTTCGCAAGTTGTGGAATGCAAAATTAATGAAAGTTCGGCTAGAATTAATTGAATTTGGAAAAGGTGTTCGAACTTTTAAAAATTGCTGTAAAATATTTATTATATAAAGAAAAAAGTGTTCTTTTATATAAAAAAAAAAAGTTTTTCCACGCTAAGGTTTCTTTCAATATATTGGGTGCGTTTACACACATACACACGGGAAGCGTAGCCGCGACACGTTGCAAGCTAGCCTGTTACCCAGTCATAACGTCAACCTTTGTCTATAGTATAGTCCAATATATTATTGTTTGTATTTTCTAAATTCGACTTTACTGATTTTTAATTGGCTTCTTGATCTCAAAATCAAAGATTCGAAATTCCATTTAATTTTATTAAACAAACAGCGACGCTCGCGCGCTTACTCCAGCTGCTAGGCTCCTATAGATTGTAGGATGATGTTTTATAGCCTAGCCTATACATAGCACGTAGGAACATTGTCGCTATCTATCAGTGAAAGATGTTGGAAATCCGACCAGCGGTTCCAAAGATTGCCTCCTACATACAAGGTCACAAATTTTACCTCTTTTTAATATTAATATAGATTTCATCACCATTTGTGCAAGTAAGTATAAAAAAGAAAAGAAAAACTACAAGGGTTAAGCCGAGGCTTGTTGTTTCTTTACCAATGTCATTTCCACGTTTTTTTGCTATGCATCTTCAAGGCTGCTCTATAAAAAGATAAATGTCCATTTGACCGGAGCTGACGTTTTTGTACGAATTTGTAACCATTAGACCGTGATAATGTTAGTGGCATTAACGCTTGACAAAATATGTTTCCTAATAACCTGTCTGTATTGATTTGTTCGTTATCCTGTCTATATTTGGGTCCTTCAGGTTCCTTTTTTAGGTACTTCGGCACGAATGGGTCGGCTCGACCGGAGTGATACCACGGCCTCACAGAAAACCGGCGTGAAACAACTACAGCGTTGTGTTTCGCCGTGTGAGTGAGGTTACTGGAGGCCCAATCCTTCCCCTCCCCCAATCCCTCCTCAATCCCTAAATCTCCAAATCTCTAATCCCTTATCCCTAAAAAGTCGGCAACGCACTCGTAACTCCTCCGGTGTGGGTGTCCATGGGCGGCGCTGATTGCTTACCATCAGGTAATCCGTCTGCTCGTTTGCCGACCAATCACATAAAAAAATACAAACATCTATTAATATATACTATAATTTCATAAAGTTGAAGAGTTTGTTTGTTCGCTTGATCTCGCTTGTCTCTGGAACTAAGGGTTCGAAACAGACTTTTTTGTGTTGGATAGTCCATTTATCTAGGAAGGCTATAGGTAAATAATAAATAACGCTTCTGTCACTAGTAGCTGAAAAGCGTGTTAAACCGCGTAGAGAGTAGCTAGTATAAAACATTTAAAATAAATTTAGGTGACGTGTCATGACGCACTGGAACCGCGCCCGTTTCATCATTTCAAATCACAAAAATATAAGAAACCGATATGCTTGTCAAGGCACGCGTTACGCAAGTATGTTTTTGCCTTTAATTTATCTGACGAAAAGAGGTTTAGTTTATAATAATAAATGATTTTTTTTATTTATTAATGAAATGTTATAAAATATTTTTTAAAAAAAAAACCTTGCCCGACATTATTATTTTCTCTTGTGTCGTAGGTGCGTTTACAAACATACAATTTCACATGCACATAACACCCAGACGCGGTACAAGAACCTGTAAATCACACAAAGAGTTGTTCCGTGCGGGAATCCAACCCGTGACACGTTGCGCGGCAGCCAGTTGCCCAGCCACCGCGCCAACCGTGCAGTCGATAAATATTTGATGTACGTAGTTATTTGTTAAAAGATGTAATACAATTAAACAAGGATAATTTAAATATATTAGTTCAGGTTTGTAATTGCCTTCTGCACGGTGGATAACTAAAAGGCAGTCAAAACTATCAGTCAAATCGCTGAACAAGGAAAATAAAAATTGAAATCGTTTTAACAATTATTGTCAAGATCATATTTAATATCTTAATTATTGCAATGATAAAATAATTATAAAGGTCACCTTGTGATGTTTGAGAAGATTTCCGAGACAGTATTGTTTCATCACCGGATTTTTCCGGATTTTTTTTCCGTTTGAGATTATAATCACGTATTGTTGTAATCATGATTACACTGTTTGCCCAGGCAAATGCCTGGGCAAAAGAATATTGTGCAAAATGTCGCGGGTTTTATTGTGTGACTCGTAAATAGTTTTTACTTATCTGTATACCTATTTATGTTTTATTTGTATGTTTGTAAACATATCCATTATACTGGGGGCTTGAAAAAAAACTTGGGCGTTTAAAAAAATAGGGTTAATCGCTATTAACAGCAGGAGAAAGAAGGGTGGTTTTTAGTCAGTAAGAGTCTGACGCTCCATCTATCCATAACCCTAGGCAAGAGAAGTCACTTGATAGTTTTCTCTTCTCAAAAAGAGGGTTTTAAAAATATGTATTTAGCTGTCTGTTTCTCTCCAAGCATGGACAGAGTTTAATTTTTAACTTGAAGGTCCAAGCAACAATATGATTTCTCCTTCAGTAGTAGGCAATATGAAGGTGCTAGTTGAAGGATGAAGGGATTTTAATAATATCTGAGCTGCTTTAAAAATGATAGCGTAGCTTAGATTTGAATGACTGCAAGCTTGGCGCGGTGGTTGGGCAACTGTCTGCCGCGCAACGTGTCGCGGGTTCAGTTTCCGCACGGAACATCTCTTTGTGTGATCTATGAGTGATGTAAACGCAGCCAAAATAAAGGAGAAAGTCTTAGCGCCTTTTTTTATTTTTAAATATAGGTACCACCTCAATTGTATGAAGTTGATGTAATATTTTTATTTGGAGGGCATCCTTAGAATTTTACAAGCATCCACATCAAAGTGTACACTTACAGCAGTCTTCAGGCAATACGCAGATCTTCAATCCATCATGGTACACGTAGTCAGGTTTGCAATCACAGCTGTTGTACCGACAGCCGCTATAGCAGGTCTTATTCACTTCCTTATAGTCTGAACAGGATCTCCCACAATGGTTACCACAACCTGATGTCGCATTAAAGTCTCCTGCGCAACTTGCTGTGGATAGACGAAGGGTATTGTAAGTAAAGTTGTGGAGGTATATGCAGAATCACCGCGTGTACAATAAATACCGCCTACTTATCTTGGCGAGTCTGAAGTTAGCCGATGAGCTGGGCAGTACACAATTTTGTTCCTAAAAGATCCATCGCGAACACAAACGGCTAACTTCAGACTCGCCAAGATACGGCGGCCGTACTGTACGGCGCGTAACGTTTCTTAAACGACCCAAAAAACGAACCACTAAAGAAAAGACCACTAGAGATGGGACCCAACAAGGCTGATGCTCAGCCGGATTTGCCGTGCCATAGCATTAAGGTAAACAAGGCCTCGCCCCAGAGCGGGAGAAGAAACGGATTGTTTTTAGTCACTAACACCCGGTTTCTGAAAGGCTTGTCAACGCTAAAATTAACTAATCTCCTGTTAAATCTCTTGTCATCTGATTGGTTGTTGATAATTCAGTCAACCAATCAGATGACTTGACAAGAGATTAAATTGATTTTAACATTGATCGGCCTTTCGGAAACCAACACTCCCTCTCCGTACTCTTGGGTTAGTTATATTTTGTAGTTGGAAACTTTAAATGTTTATTTTACCTGATGGGTGGTAATTCATAGAAGGATAGTTATTATTTATTTATTTAATTAAGTGGTTGCGGTTTTGTATGCTGCTTGCTTGCATAGTATTATGATTGGTGACGTTATAGGATATACATAGGTAAGTTGCAAAGTTTATATGAGTAATATGTGACCACAAATAAATAAAACGAATGTGTCTGACACGGTCTCATAGAAAACCGAAACAACACTTACGTTGTGTTTCACCGTGTCCATGTGTGTGTTCAAATCACCGTATGTCCTAAATTCTACAAATATTAAAATTCCTAACCTCGTAAGGTTGGTAACATACATGCCAGTTCTCTAGTGAGTAAGATTCTGACTAAAAAACATCTCTTTCCTTGACCTGCTCCAGGCCGAGGCCACGGTACTTTATTTCTCTTGTACCCTGTCTGAACATCGGACATTTTGGGCTCCATCCGAGGTCTAAAGGGCTAATGAAATGTCACATAACAGCCGTGCAGATTGTACTTTAACTTAGCGATGAAAAAATATGGAACACAAAATTTAAGTCGGTAATATGAATACTGTAAAACGGGGTGAATAGAATTCAAGGCGTGAATGGACACAGAAGGCCCTTTTGTTTTGAATGATGGCCCTTTTGTTTATCTATTCACTCCTTAAATTCTATTCACCCCGTTTTACCATTATTTCAATCAATACATCAGACTCAGACCTCCAATCCATTCGTTGATATGGAAATCAGGGTCAATATCACAAGTTTAGTAGTCACCTACAGGATTACTGAACCCTAACTATATAATACCTACACATTGTCATACTGTACTATAAGTACTTATCTACTTAGGGAACTCAGCGCACATAATACCCGCACCCACAGACCACAAACTTGACTCACTTCTAAGTTCTTACCGACTTTGGGCGACTTCAAATAACAAAGTTTCACCTACAGCTTGTTTAATTTGTACCAATTCAAAATTTAGATTCCTATTGTTATATGAAGTAAGGTTCAATTTGGATTCTTGTATTGCAAGTATATTTTATTTGTAATTTTTCTCTATTGTATTAGTTTGGTTTTCGCAATCGATTGAGTTTTAACTACAGATGACACTTCAAAATGGCATCATTAATCAAATACCCATGATTATGTTCAATACATGGTTTGTATTTAATTTCTTTTTTACTGAATATTTTTCTGTTTTTATATATTTATGGGTTGAGGTTTGTAATTCGCAACCTGATAATATTAGAGTCATTACATAATTTCTCTATTAACCTGTGAGCTTTCTTTAAAATGTTAAAAAATAATATACATTCTGAACATTGTCAACGAAGAAACTCCTTACTTATACCTCCATATAATCGCAAAGTACTCACAACAGTCCTTCTTCGGTATGCAAGTCCCGTTAGTGTCGCGTACCATCCCATCTATGCACACGCATTCCGGTCTGCACAGTGATGTGGCCCCCCCACAAGGTATAGGGTGGCCCAAGTCTTCACATGTTTTCGGCCCACAGTGCGCGCATTCTACGCTGATTTCGTTTTCCTTACATACTTCCCTTTTTACGACTGAAATAAAAACATGTTTTTCTTTTTTAAAAGGCGATGTTTTTTTCTTATTATAATAGTTATTTAATTGTTTGTTGGTTTATTTTTTCGTCTACATACCTATACATATAGTATGTTGGTTGTGAGATGAAATATAGTTTGATATAAAACAATCATGAAGAGATATTTAAAAGTTGAGTTTAAATTCATTTATTTAGAATGATATAGTTTGTCATTTTATTTATAAATTACGGATACGTTTCACACCTTCATATTAAACTTATTCCGGTATTCCAATAAACTCAAATTCATACAAATTGTGTTCTATATTTAATTTTTCAGATGTTGTGAGTATCAGTGGTAGTATAAAACGGACCAAGTTGTTCTTATACTACGAAATAGAAATTTATTTTACTAAATAATATATTTTTCTTTATTTATTTTTTATTTAACTAAGTACATAATAATTTTCCATAACCGACAATTAAAAACATGAAACATTCTTCAATTGAAAATAAAATACAGTAAGTATAATTTAAGTGTATTGATTTGATTACATACTTTCCTTAACATTTACAATTTATTCAAATGAATTGAGAAAGCGAAGAAAGTACTAACTTCACAGAAACAATTGCGTTTCTCACAAAATTACTTCCGAAACTAAATTAGACTTCTTGTTCCTATATGAGCGGAATACCTGACAATATTAAATAGTACTAGTTTTGCACATCAAACTACACATCCAGTGGAAAAAGACCTTACTATGCACGGAATTGTTAGGTACTGCGGGGTCAACAAAATTGGCAGGTATGTTCTTTATATCGCCAATTCTTAAAACAGGGTGCACTACGGCGCAACCAACATTTTATTAGACTTTGCAAATTTTGAATGTGCAGTGTTCTTTTTAGCATATAAACAGGAAAATAAGTTGGCAAACAAGTAGGCGAATTACCTGATGGTAAGCAATCGGTGCGAGAGCTACGCTTCAGCACGAATGGGTCGGCTTGACCGAAGTGATACCACGGCCTCACAGAAAACCGGCGTGAAAAAACTACGGCATTGTATTTCGCCGTGTGAGTGACGTTGCAGGAGGCCCAATTCCTCCCTTCACCCTATCCCTTTCTTCAATGCTTAAATATCCGAAACCCTTATCCCCAGAAGGCTGGCAACGCAGTCCAATATCCATGGGCATGGCATCAGGTAATCCGTCTGCTTGTTTGCTGACCTATCCCATACAAAAAAGTCGAGCCGGGTAACCAATAGAAATTGCATAATTGTAGGAAATAGGAATACGGCAATGAACACATCACAAATGACCTTCCTTACCTACTTTTATAACACGTAATTGAACTGGCTAGATATGTGTAGATAGATGACCTACTGAAGATCCCTCTTGTATTTTTTATGGGCTAAGTCATCCTGTCACTTCTCCCACTCCGGGCTAAGGCCGCGGTAAATTATTACACTTGTACCCTCAAGCCGTGTTATCTATATCTATACTAATGTTATAAAGAGGTAAAAGTAAGTTTGTATGTAGGGGGTAATCTTTGGAACCGCTAGTCGGACTTCCAAAATTCTGTCACTATTATATAGCTACAATGTTCCTGAGTGCTATATGCAAACATCACGCTACGATAAAATGGAGCCGAGCAGCGGGTGAAACCGCGTGAGAGTAGCTGATATAACCACATGGAAGTTGAAGACTCCTGTCTTCTCTTTAAGAGAAGTCTTAATTACATGTTTGTATGTGTGTAAATAGTAGAAAGTCCTACGTGGAAACTACTAAGGCCGTGTTTGCACTTACGATTTCAATCAAATGAACTATGCACGGACGGTTTCACTAGTAACGTTGTGTGAACAAGGGATTCGAGTGCACTTGAAAGTTTACTATTCGAAGGATTTGCACTAGTTTATTGAATTGGCAAGAAATCTACCTTTGGATGGAGATTGGATTGTTAAATAACAAGCTAATTTCCTGCCGTTTCAGACGCTACTTGGCTCCTATTGGTCATATTGTGATATTTTATAGCCAATACTTGCCTTTTTGGATAAATGAACTATTCCAAACAAAAGGATTTTTTCAATTCGAACTAGCAGTTTTTGAGGTTACTGAGACCAAATGAACAAACTCTTGAACTTAACAATATTACGAGTACTTAATACGTTAGAGTACCAATTAGTACTAAACTCATGTCATTGTGAAAATCATCATACTGTGTTTGTCACCTAATGTAATTACCTCAATAAATAAAAATAAAAATACCGATTTTGATATCTTTGATTTAATTTAGTTTCTAACATTTGGTAGTGTTCGGCTTTTTTAAAGCCTTGAGAGAGAATAATTCGAAATATGAAAAAACAAAACCAACACTGTCAAACCCGCGCTCACGGAATACCGGCGTGAAATAAGCTTACGTTATGTTTTACCGTGTGAGTTACCGGAGGCCCAATCGTCCCCCCCCATTCTCAATCCGGCCGGCAACACACTTTAACTCCTTTGATATTACGAGTGTCGATCGGCAGCCATTAGGTAATCCGTCTGCTCGTTTAAAGACCATGAAAAATAAATAAATCTCCATTTTAATTCGTATATTCACTCGCCATTATTGATATTGTAAAAATTTTTGTTAGAGTTTTCTAGAACGGTTGTGTGATGGTCAGAATCTCATATGTATGTATAACAAATATTTGACAAGGAAACCCAGCTTGTTACCTACGTACGTGTTTCTTGGTCTTCCTTATAAAATGCAATGTGAAAATGCCGGAACATATTCTCGGTTGCTTGTTCAAACAATTATTTAACGTACAATGGGTACGAGAATTTAAACTAAAAAGCTGTTCACTTAAAATAGTTAAAACATTGTTGAAATATATTTTTTTTAATAATTTTGTTAAGTCATCTTTAATTTCTTTAACTATTTAAAGTAACATAATTATTCACCAATGGCGTAGGTGCGCAAATAAAAATTCCGGGTAGACAAGCACAGCTTTCAAATCCAAACTGAAAATGGAGGATCGTGACAAATTATTAAAAATTATAAATCACAATTAAAACTAAAGATGCTTTACATTTTAACACGGCCAAATAATATTTTATGGTATATGTTTAGCGGTAAACAAGCAAGCGGGATCACATAGTGGTAATCAATCGACGCTATCCATAGACACCCGCTACACCAATGGACCTACAAGTGCGTTGCAAACTGGAAATTGCACCGGGTCTCCGGTCCGGTAACCTCACTTATGAGGCGAAATAACTCAAGTCGGTTTTCAGTAAAGCCGTGGTATCACTTTAGAATGTTGTGTTTTATACTTATATTTCAGATATAAACATGCATAGTTTGCCCACTTTCTCAAAAACAAGTTTTTTTTTCAGAGCAGACTTTTCTGGTAATTAGATGAACAATTGGATTTGTCTATAATATAATAGTTTTAATATATCGAGTAGTAGTATAGTAGTAACAGACCATAATAAAAACATAATAAACTTAAAAAAACTTACCTTCACTATGTATAAAATAAACCCAATACGTGGCAACCATAACTATTACAAACAGCTTAGACATATTGAACGTCTTATTCAGCCGTCAACCACTTCACAAATGATATAGTTTTAAACAATTTTAATTCAACCATTGCCATTCAACCTTTTCCCTGTTAATAGGGTTGCCACGCTTACCTCTTATTAAAGTGTTGTCGGTAATTTTAGAGAGTCGAAGCTTGATTAAATATAAGTTCGAACTGTCTGTCTGTAGTAATTTATAACGGGAATCTATTTGAGTACTTACCGTATTTTTAATCAAAATTAATCTACATTGCCGTGCTTCGGATTTTTTTTAATGAAGTCTAAAGCGCTTTTCCAAGAAAAAGTAAAAGTAGTTTATAGAACTTGATTTTGTCCTTTTTGCTCGTTTATTTGAGAAAGGTCTAAAAAAAGAATTTTCACGTGATTTTTTCTTGTCATAGGTGCATTTACAAACATTCAAATTCACATAATTATAAATAAACATAAACCGGTGACTGTGTAGTAAATTTTTATTTATATGTTATAATTAATGGTTTTTACTCAAAGTGTATTTAATTTTAGTTGACTGATATTTTTTTTTTTTTTGTATTAGTATATATATTTAACTTACTTCAACTTACAACTACGTGTAAAGTAATTACTTTACTTGCGACTAAAACGCGGCAACCCTAACGCTCAATGACTAATTCATTTCGTTATACGATTCTTGATACATTTTCCTTTAGTTCTCGATGTATTTTTCTTTGAAGTGCAATGTAATTAAGTTGTTCATTCATTTGATTGGCAATTAAGATTAAAGATTTGTTTCAGTCATAGTTTTGTTAAGGTTTAGAATACCTTTTTTTCTGGGGCGAGGGAAGGGATAGCGAAATTATCCAATGACTTCTCTCGCCCAGGGCATTCACGTCACACCGGTATATCATCTCACGTTTCAAACCCGCAATCTCGTACATGAAAAGCCTAACCAGACCACTACGAAACAGAAAATAATAACAGGTATTCTAAACCTTCAGCCGGGGTTGCGAGGTTAGCGCAATAAGGTACTGCGGGCTCGGCCCAAAGCAGGAGAAGGAACGGGGGTTTTTAGTCAGTAAGAGTCTGACACTCCGAGAAGTCATTTGATGATTTTCCCCTCACAAAAAAGGGTGTAAGGTTAATCATCCAATACAGTTTGGCAGTCCCTATTTTAAAGGTACAAGTAATGAAATTTTTTAACGGTATGCCCCAACGATTAATTTTTACGTTTTAACGATATCGGTTGGCATACGAGCAGATGCATTATCTGATGGTAAGCAATCAGCAACGCCCATGGTGTATCGTAATATCAATATCATAGGCGGCGAAATTGGCGCCTTACCTACAACTGTGTATTTTTTTTTTAATAACTTTGCCCCACACTTGGATTTTCTCCTGTGACGTGGCTGCTTTTACAAACATACAATTTCACATACACATGACACCCAGACCCGAAACAACAATTTGTGGATCACACAAAGTGTTGTTCTGTGCGGGAATCGAACCCGCGACACGTCGCACGGCAGCCAGTTGCCCAGCCACCGCGCCAACCGTGCAGTCAAGTCAGTCATTAAGGATAGGGGGTTATTTAAGATTTGAGGATTGAGGATGAGGAGGAAGGATTGAGCCTCCGGTAATCACACTCCTACGGCGCAACATAATTTAAGATTTAAACAACAAGGCAGCATAATTATATTTAACTGTAAAAATCTGAGACAGCCTAACAAGATATCATATCGAAGTACTTATACATATTTATGAACGTAAAATCTGACCTCATTACAGTAGTCCCCTAAACCATCACTCATAAGGTGCAGGAATATAAATAACGTTAGTAAAAGTAAAAGATCTTGCGAACTACTTAACTTTTTACGTCGCTGTAATCTATTTTAGCTGTATGAAGTAGCTAAGTGTAGTAACTCCAAGGAAAATAAATATAGTCGAATAAGTTCTACAAGTAACTCCCAAGTTGCACGGGAGCAGTTTGAAATGTACAATCGGCGGAATCGATTGGTGTACAGGCAAATTGCTGCTCGCTGATTTTAAACTTTATTGTTTTATTTGCTAATTTAAGTAATAAAATGTATTTTGTTTTGTTCTGGAAAGTAGGTACTGCTTCCTATTACATAAAGGAAATATTTGAAAGTGTTTTATAACGTGGTCAAATAAAAAAAAAATTACAACTCTTTCGAACAACGTACTTACGTAGAACGTATCGAAAAACTAGAAGTTAAAATTCTGTTCTAGATCTAAAGATATATTTTGTTGTGTGTATACCTATTTAAATAATGGACCACATTTGATTCAGATGAAACATTAAATATGATGAAAATTTTAGCATCAGGTATAGAGGACCAGGTCGGCTAGAATGATAGTGGTCCCACAGCAAACAAAGCATGTGAGTGACCAGCAAGGGTTGTGGGCTAAGCGTAATAATGTACCGTGAGCCTGGTCTGGAGGAGATGACGAAACTTTCGGCCCATCTAGAGCGTATTTTTCCACGAAAATCTAAATTGATACTGGATGGCCAATCCGCCATCCATACCTAAAATGGGTTACTTTATTAGTGATACTTCTGCTCGTTTGCTGCCAAAGCCCATTAGAAAATAGGTACCCGTATCATCAATCCTGCACGATAGTACCGGAGTTCGTTAAAAGCAAACAGGTACAATATTCTAGCGTGTAAAGAGCTTTGCTGGACCAGTTTTGTGTATGTTTAAAACATTTGTAAAGTTTCTCTTCTACTTGACTATCTTAGGGACCGATGCGTTACTGATATTGGTAGTTTGATCAAATTATTTTGTGGATATCTTGTTTAGCAGTCATCGCTTCTCATGTATAAGGGTTTGAAATCTAGCAAGTACCAATGTAATTTTTCCGAGTTATCTGTTTTTTCTATGATTATTCAGACACCACTGACATTCCGTGACGGAAAACATCATGAGGAAATCTGAACTTGCTTGGAGATTAATGCTCAAACTTTATCCGTGTGAGATGAGGCTTTGCTCAGCAATAGATACTTATGGGCTGATGATGTGATGTTGCCTATTTGTGTAACAAAGATTAGTTCATGACATTCCTGTCTATTCTCAATCCTCTAATCCCTATATAATTTATCCTCCTAGACCCCAACAGGCTGTCACTTGTAACTTCTCTGTTGTTCTATATGTCTGTGGGCAAAACCGAATGGTTACCTTCGGTTAAAACGACCGCTCGTTTGGCGCACTATTACAAATCAAGCTATTTATAAATTGAATATTTGCGTCATAAAGTACAACCCTGGTTATGCATTCGAAATTCCCAGTAATCGGTAGGAACAGTTTTTTTGACATGTGAATAATACGAAAAAATCGTTTGCTTTAGTCAAATATGTAGTAAATATATGTGTATAATATTTGGCTTATTTCTGTACTCAGTTACAAATATTTACTATATTAAACGTTCACTCTATTCACTAAATTTAACATACGTTTTAAGAGGTAAAAAGTAGATAATTAGGCTGATCCGTGATACGATGAAATCATGCATACACCTACGTAGACTACTGAACTAAGGGGCCTTTAAAAGGCCTCTTGTTGACGCGGAACAACTACCCAATGACTTCTCCCGCTCTAGGTGGGACGTGAGGGAGAGTCAGAATCTTACTCACACACAGTCACCCCGTTCCTTCTTTTGTTTTCGGCCGGGACCTCGGTATAGTATTGCGCTTGCTCCCGAAATTCCGGTAACTGGTTTGAGGACCGAAGTTTCTAGGTCACCAAAACGGCTAAGATAGTGCTGATGTTGTACTCGACCTGTCTTATCTGCATTAATTTAGCTAAAACCTAGACATGCAATGCCAAGTACTTTTACCTGCCTCCTTTAACTCACCACTTAACCGCTGACTAACCTTCCACCACAACTTTTAATTTACCTTTACGTTCTCGTTATACCAGTAAATTTATTTCCAATTAGTAAAATACTTGGAACGGGAGTTTCCTTGTCTTAATTGAAGCGCCTTGCAATTACCAAACGTTTGTGTTGAATGCAAATTTTATGCATCATAGTTTTAGTTTTAATTTGCATTACTTTGTTCGTGTTAAGGTGGATTACTATGTACCTTTTATATAAAGTTTTACATTGTGTTTATATTCTATTAGATACTTTAATTTATTAGTGCTAAAGTAAATTTGGTCTCAATGAACTTTGACAGGTAGATTATGAGGCAGGTTGAAAGAGTCAATTGATGATTTTGACGACGGCGAGCAAGGGTAGCTTGCCACCCGACCAAAATCAGACCCGAGCTTACGTCACGTAGCGTTTTCCGCGCGCTTCAAACAATCAACATCATGACCATCAAAGATACCCAATAGGGCCGTTGTTACGCAGGTCAAGCGCAATAAGATACCGCATCCTCAGCCTGACATTCCATCTCGCCTGACCGTTGGGAGAGAGAAGTCATTTAATAATTTTTCCCGCACAAAAAGAGGTATGTTACCTGTACCTATATAAGAATGCGCCTTACAATTTTATTGGAGCAAATAATTATTTTGCAATGATTGCTTTAAATTTTATACCGGCAACTATAGCCCGTAAGAATGTCTGTAAATATATAATATTAGTACTTAATAATTATAGTTTTCAAAAGTCATAAAATAATATTAGCTAATTTGTGCGCTGGCTGCTATTCATCATTATCATTAGCCGGTAAGTGCTTTCTGCCTTTCTGCCACACAAAGTCCAAAGTAAGGATTAATCTGGCTTCCTCAAAGAAATTGGAGATTTCAAACTTATAATCAGAAATTTTGTGTCCAAGTTTCCTCTTAACCTTTTACTTTCATCACAATTTTATGTCAGTAGTGTCTTAATAATCTTAGAAAATAAATATACTGATTACCTACAAGGTCTATAAAAATAGTAGCTAGACCAATTAGACCTTTTTATAAACGGTAAAGGTCTACATTTAATTTTAATGAAACGTAAGACGAAAGCTCTTGTTCTCGCAATCCACGTGGAATTCACTTTGTTCTTAGGTCAAAAAAGAGTTACAAAGGAAAACATTGA